TAATAAATTACTCTGCCTCCCCTCATCACTCAAGTAAGTTGTCATCCAAAGGCACAATCAGTACAATACAGGACACAAAGCCACTCACAGACAGGGAGGGAGAAAAAGAGGGTAGGCTGATGCCTCAAGAGCTGTGACTCACAAGATCCATGAGCCTTTTCCATGGAAATCAAGTATCAATGAAGCTATTGTACAAGATTATGGACTCTGTAAATGTAGACTAGTTATGAATTCTCACAGAGCTACACTGCTCTCAAAAAGAGCCAAGGACAGCCAGCCTGGAAAGTCACATAAAGGGGAGTCTGACTCAGGTGTAGATGGTGGGTTGCTCAGTCTACCACTGCTAAGACACCCAGTAGCTCCCACAGAACAGGGTCCCTGGGTTTAGCATCTGTAAATTCACGCCATGCCTGTGCTGAGCCATGCGTGCCAAAGGCTCTAAAGTCCAGCCTAAACCAGTCACCACCTACTGTTACAAGTTCAAGGAAAAGCTAAGCAACTTCCATTAGTCTTAAATGGCTTCCAGAAATAAAAGCTGAACATGATGTAGGCTTTTGCTGAAAAACAAACAAACAAACAAACAAACAGCAGTAAGATACTTTGTTAAGCACTTTCAAATTTGTACCTACCTTTATCACTTTGAATATTTCAGTATTAGCCTAATAAAAGTACCTATCTCTTACAATATATAATTTTTTTAATGTATTTGGTACAGGGTCTTGCTATGCAGCTCGGACTCCTAGTGATCCTCCTATTTCCAGCCTCCCCAGCACTGGGATTACAGTCATGTGCTACCACGCCCGGACAGGACTGCTAGCTCAGCGTGCCTGGAGGCAGGGCCTGCACACGTGGTGCCAGGGATCGAACCTGGGTCCCTGCGCTTGCCCAAGTAGGCACTTAGTCTGCTGAGCTATCTTGCTTGCCCTAAAATTTAAAATGGAACAATATACGTTGCCAAACACATAAACTTGGAATCCAGGCTAAATTTTCTAAAACATTTTAGACTAATCTGTGAATTGTTCTTCCAACTGAAATTATCACTGACCATGGATGAGTTAAGTATGCAGAAAGAAAAAAATGAAATAAGTGAACTGAAAATACTCCATAAATTAAGGATTATTCAGAAGAAAATAATATTAGAATTTTTTTCTCATAAACTCAGCAAACAGAACTTAGCATTTTTCCTCAATTAGAATGGCTACTAAATACCATGGAGTCCACTTTTTTTACATTCATCATTTTAGATTTTTATGCTTCATTATGGACCTCTTAATGAAAATGTCAATAAATTTTAAATAATTTTATGTTCCAGAGTATTGTATTACAGATCCTGGCAGAAAATAATTAAGGCAACCTTAAAAGGTTGGGAACTGCCAGCATCTAGTGTGAGTTATGACTGATCATTAACAGAGGTCAGTCTTATGCTGGACGCTCACTGAGAAACATACCGAACATGTATATAATAGCAATGGCTGAATTTTCTGTTTTAAGAGTAAGGCAATGAACACCTTTAATACCACTGTATACATTTAGTGATGACCAGAAATGAGCATCATAAGATTTGTTTGCTGTGCATTATCGTTATACACACAAAAACCAGGAAGAATGATTCCTCTCCCTTTGAAAAATGCAATTTTCTTCCTTTAAAGGCATCACTCATAACCTATTTACACATCTCCCTTAAGATATATTACTTTATAACTTTTGTTGTACTCTAATTCTTACAACTTTGATAAATTTTGTTATATTTATGAAAACATCACCTTTGATTGTGATACGTAATTTATCTTTAAATAAGTTAAAAGTAAAAAAAAAAAAAAAAAAACAGGAGAAAATGTTTATTGTTTGTCCAAAGTCTATAGACATTTAGTAAACTACTATTTTTAAAAACACATATACAATTCACTGTTGCAGTCACAACTGTTTCACATTCCCCTTGCGGAATGGTTGGTCCACTCACAATGGTTCTTTGTGAACATGCAGTTATATATGTTCTCCTAGCATTTCTGTTGCAAAAATTATTCAAACCAAATAAAAGGGGGCTTGAAATAACGAAAAAGGAAAAATATCAGAATGGAAGGAGAAAATGCCCCAAGATAGAAGCAGAGAGGAGATAAGTCTGTTACTTTAAAGGAAGAAAACAATAACAGTATGAAAGAATTTGGTTACACCAATGAAAGAGCTAGAACATGAAGCTGAAATAAAATGGAAATAAATACCAAAGAAGATTATGAAGAGATGTGTAGGAGAAGACGATGTGTCTTTGCAAAGAGTAAAAATAAAAAACTGTTAAGATAGCATAAAACATAGAGCAGCTATCTAGTGAATGGGAATGATATGAAGCAGGAGGTATAAGAGGCCAGGAAAGGCCAGGAGAGCATTTTAAATCACTTATCTGAGTAGTACATCTCACTCACCCAATTTACTTTACTTCATTATTCGTTATTTTAACCCACAGCTGAGCACGGGCTGAGTTTGTTTTGTTTCCCGTTTGGAGTTCAGTGAAAAACTCAACTAGTATTTCAAGTTCCATCAAGCTGTGCCTATCACTTAGCACCTTGGAGAATTTCTTTAAGCGAGGAAAACAAACATGTAGATGTTCTTTCCAAGCAGCCCCTCGCCTATAAAGAGCCTGGCCTTTCACCACCTCTGTTTTCCTTTCTCAGGCAGGTCAGAAGGTTCTGCTTTCCACAAGGCAGTAAAAGTGGACCCTCCTATAGGAAGAAAAATGTTATGAGCCCAGCACAGTTAATACAGACAGGGCCTGCAGATGTAGACAGACCCTTGAGGGCCGAAGGAAAGGGCAGTAGGTGAAGGGGAAAGAAGCAAGAGCAAGGAAAACACAGTGGGCGGGAGAGACAAAGCTGGGTCTGAAATGTGTACCGACTGCAAATGACTAAAGCTTTCTTTTTTATTTGACAGTAATATAAAATGAATGAAAGCTGAAAAAAATTTCATTTAATGAAAATGTCTTCAGATGAAAGACACAGTGGTTGCATGAAAAAAAGGACAAAGTGAATAATTTGCATCAACATATGGCACAGCAGTTTTTTAAAAAGTAACTTACTAGCATCAATATCAAATTTCACTACCCAAGTTCCTAGCCATAACATGCTCAAATCTTAGCAAAAGGTCACAGACAACCTCAGGGTTGAACAGTTACGTCTGTATTTCAGAAGAGGGGACACACCTCTGCAGCTGCTGGACAGCTTCTCCACCTTTCTACTCCCAGTACTCTTCCAAGACTCTGGAAATATGACACAGTTTGCCTCAGGAAGCTCCAAATCTACTCCTAATTGTGGCAGGGGTAAAAGAGTGGGCAGAAGGCTTGACGGTGCTGCGCAAAACTAAGAGACTGGGGGCCACTCATGAGGAATATGTCCTCCTGTGATGCTGAAATTTCTTGTGTATTTGCCCTTTCCAGCTCCACCCTCAAGCTTTAAGCTTCACTCCTTGAGGTTCTGAATGTTGGTCTCCATCTAATCCATGCTACTGTTACACTGCTGCCCACCTTTTGTATGATGAAAGGGCAAGAGGTACTTTCTTCCTGGAAGTTCTAACACAACAGGCTGTGACAATAACGACTGTGTAAACAACTCCCATGCCCTGGTCTCCCCATTTCTCAGATGCCACTGGTCAGATTATGGATGTCACAGATATGGTTACCTCTAGTTTCCAAGTTGGCAATGATGACATCTATTAATTCACAAAGATAACGGCTTTTTTGTCTGACAGACTGCATTTTGGTATGGTATTTTATTTTGGTTTCAAAAAAATAGTTACAAAATTTTTCTTTTATAGTTTTGCTACCCCATGACTCTTCTTTTATTCTTTGGTTATTTTATGATCTCATTCATCACCTTGGAAACTTTTAAGAACACTTAAATGATGAAAAGTAAACAACTTAACCTAGCACAGCATTCTGATATATGTCCCAAAAACTCAGGTCTGTTTGGAAAGACTTTTCTATTACAATTTAACTAAAGTGATGCATATGTCTGACTGTTTAAAAAGGGAGAGCTAGGATACCACTTCTCCTACACATTTAACATTGTAGTCTGTCTGCCTACAAACAGCCATATCCCTAGGCCAGTTCTTTTTCCAACTATCTTAGAACCGCCCTGTGGTATCCTTAAGTGCACTCTGAAACTTTGGTATCACCTTCATTATGGCGTGCTTTGTGCACATTCTCAGACACAGCAATGCCCAAACTAAGGCAACTCATCCCAGACGCTGGCAGCAATGTTATCAGCAAGAATTTGGCCTCAGCACCAAGAGTGATTCATCATACATTCTAGCAGGCGAAAAACAACACTCCACTATTTTAATCCCTTGGTGCCCTCAAGAACCAAGACAGTAAAAATATAATTGAGCAAAAGCAGCAAAAAATCATATCCTTTATACCATTTGTAAATTATATTGTTCAGTCTTAAGAATTTTCTAAGTCACACTGAAAACAACGATTACTTACCTTATTTCAAAATATTTGTAACAAGTAACAAATCAAGTTTAAGACAATTTCAGGAGAAAATAGGCACTCCAAACGTAACATACTGAAATTCAATGCCTAAGAAATTATCCCTTTACAGTCAGTAAAATCTATCCTAGTGTTGTAAAAAGCAATCCACTTAAAGTCAGCTGAGTGAGTTGCCACGGTCAGACACGGGTGGGAAATTTGCTAGGGGCGCTCTCTTTCATCTTTCAGAGGGGCCTCAACTTTCAGCTAACCCGAACACCAGCGCTCTAATAACAACAGGACAAGCATAAACACTGTTGTTGCTGCATCTAATGAGCCCAGGTCAAGTCTCCTCCTGGTCATTCTTGCTTCAGAACACAATGCGCAGACTATCACCGGGTTATCACTTAGTGTTTGTACAAAATCTTCCACATCCATCAAAGCTGTGGATTTCATAAAACTTTTCTTTTAAAGGTTACTCTGATAGCTGTGCCCAAGTCCTTTTACCAAGACCGCGCCCCGCACTCCCAGGAAGGGACCCTACCTTTTCAAACACCTCTTCCTCCTCCCTGCGCCTCCGTTTGCGGGGTCTCCCATTCAGTCGCATCCATTTCGTGACCTGGAGTCAGATCCACAGAGCATCTTGCACAGGTTGCTTCCTAAGCTTAGCAGCCCTACCGCCCCACCCCCGCACCTACCCCAATCCCATGGGCACCCCCCCTTGTACCCGCACTCACCTCCGCGTCCACCCGCCGCACCAGTCCGCAATCCGCCCCAGCCGGGCGCGCCCCCTGCAGCTGCTGCGGAGAGACAGACCACAGCGTCAAGACCCGCACGCGGCCGTAGCCACGGCCACAGCCTCCCGCCCCGCGCCCGGAGGGGAGGACGACGCGCCCGCTCGCGCGGGCCGCAACACCTCGGCGCGGGGGCGGGGCGGGCGGGGGCGGGGCCTCCTTAAAGGTACAGGCACCGCGCCCAGTCAGGTCCTGGCATGCGATTCCTGTCCGCAAACCTCCCCCTCCTCCTCCTCCTCTCCAGTCCCGCGCTTGCCGCACCTGTCCTAGCGCTGGCGCCTACACTGGGCCTAGCGGGTGCACGCTCTCGGCCCAGGACCCCAGGTCATCACAGGCCCTGGGGAAAGTAGCTTCCCTCCAGGGCTGCCCCAGGAACAGCACGGGGGCCAGGAACAGGACCTCCAGGAGAAGGGCCGCTGTGCAGCAAAACCCGGCGCAGACATGCGGGCCTCTGGAACCAAGGGGTAGAACTGAAAGAGGAGCAGTCTGTTTTCTCCATTAGGGAAATGGTTTCTCCTTAGTTTATAAAAGCGTGTGCTACCACCAAATTTCCCCCAGCCCCCAGAAATCTTCCTTCCTCTTCGCATCAGAACCTGGTGGAGACGAAAGCTAGCGAAGCCAGGGAGGGTCGGTCCTACTCCTGCCTACTAATCTGACCTCTTTAACTTTATCGTATTTCTTTAAAGAAAATCTGCTTGCCCTCTTTATTGCTTCTCCATTTTTCTTTTAAGATCAAAAGGTTTAGATCAAAGCCAAGATCCAACTCACTACTTTAAATATAAGCAACTTTGTCATGGAGTATTTTGCACAAAGAAGAGCTTCTTAATGGAGACATCAGAGTGGAAAACTTTATTGTATCCCTTCATTCCATATTTGTAACTGGGTTACTTAAACGTGCATTAACGACGCACGTCTATTTCCTAAAATATACAACAGATCTGCTCAAGTGGGGGATTCTTTGTATTTCTAGGAACACACACCATGTAACTCGGGAGAAGTAGATATATTAACCCTTTTGTATCATTAAGTGTTATGAAATCATACTAAAGATTTTTCAGCGTATCTAATCTTGTATACATGTACAACCATGACCTACAATTTTCTTCCGTAAAGGAAATACACAAAAATAATTAATGCTTTGTAAATCCTGGTTGCATATGCACATAAGCATATAAAAATACAAATGATGAAGTACATTATGCAGAGCTGTTTAATTTTAAATGGAGGGAGAACTTTTAACTATTCAAGCTTCCATGTTACTAATAACAGTTCCAGAATCAATAGAAATCTATCCGGGCAGATGCTTCCTTTTACCCAGTAGAATATTTTTTCCTTGGAGTTCACTGCCCCTGGAACTCTGATACCAACCGTTCAACACTAATATACTAAAACAGTGCCTTGCTTAAAAGGGCCATTCTAAGGATAGTCTTTGTTGATTTGTAGCAATTTTTCAGCATATAGACCTAGAGGGAACAAAAACTAAAAACTACATTCCAAAAATCTAGTAATGGGAGTAAAGATAACTATTGTAAATTAAATCTTATGACTTCTATGAAAATCACAAGTTATGGTTTGTGTCGTGAAATCCACCCCCCCCCCAAGGCTCACATGGTCATAGGAGGGACTTTTTCAAAGTGTAATCATGCTGGAATTTATTCATGGTACAATGCTAGGATCAAGGGTACTAGGATTAAGAGTGTGAGTGGTACCCACCCTATTAGCCTGCACAAGACAGATATAAAGGATAGAAAGCGCTGTTGTCAATTCTGGTTTGCTTCTTCTTGCTTCTTCCTGCCTTCTGCCTACAATGAACTATTTCTCCTCTGTAATGCTCCTCAGCAGTGTGCTACTCTGCCTTGGAGGCAGGCAACTGTGGACTGAAACCACTAGGAACTGTAAGCCAAATAAACTTGTTTTCCTTTACCATTAGGCATCAAGTATTTTGTCTTAACAATGAGAAAAGTAATCAAAACAGATAGTTAATGTTATAAAGAGAGCAAGACAGATCTTCTCTAAAGAAATGCCATATACTTAAAGAGATGGTCAGATCAGTAGGTAGTCCTAATTCTGTAAACCACAGGGAGTCACTGGAAAGATCTTGGGAACTGAGACCAGGAAACCCTACACTTTTCCATGGGCAAGGAAAGGCGCTTTCTCCTGGGGTGGAGCTCACAGAGAACCAAAGGGGTCCTGTCATACCTGCACAAAGGGCACAGTGCTGCTGTCACTCTGCTCTCTGCTGTGCTCCCTTCTAAGTGCCTCCCAACCAAAGAGGCCCCTTTGTTCTCTTGCCCCTTCAGACAATCAACTTGCCCCAGCCACAGAGAAGCCAGAGTGTTTATTTCCAAAGACAAAGCCAATTATATCACTTTGGTTTACTGACAATGCTTTGCTTGGCTAGATCTTACTTGCCCTCTTTTCTAGTGTTAAACAATCCTTCTAAAAGATCTCACTCACCAGTCCAAATTATGTCACCCACTAACTCTTACTAATAGGATCCTGTTTGTATTCTTTCAGGTGATTATTGTATGTGTCTATTTAAATATTTCAAACGACTTTCTTTTTTAGAGTAATGTTAAGCCTATAGAAAAACTAAGCAGAAAGTATAGGAAATCCTGTATCTCACACTCCCACAATTCTCCCAATTATTAGCATCGTGTATTTGGTACAACTGAGGAAGAGTATGGTACATTAATTACAATGGAAGAATCAATGTTTTGCTGTTTGTTTGTTTTTTTTTCCAGTACCAGGAATTGAACTCAGGACCCTGCACTTGCCAGGCAAGCACTTATTCTACTGAGCTATCTCCCCAGCCCGAAGAACCAGTGTTAATACACTATTATCAAAAGGTCCATAGCTTACATTAGGTATCACTCATGTTGTATAATTTCTGCAGCTTTACTCAGTTTTTTGTTTGTTTGTTTGTTTTGCAGAACCGGGGATTGAATTCAGGCCCTTGCGCTTGCCAGGCAAGTGCTTATTCTACTGAGCCATCTCCCCAGCCCCTTTACTAAGTTATTGACTAACTTGACTATATGCTCTAAAAAGAGAGAGATGCTGTCTCCTTTGTTCTTGATTTTTGTCCAGTCACTAAAAACACTGTGTGGTACATAGCAGATGCTCAATAAATATGTTAAGTGAATAGAGGCATAAAAGGACAGATGAATGGATGGCACACAAAACTTCAAGGGGAAAGAATCTTAAGATTTAGATTTTCCTAGTTAATTCCTATTTGCTTCACTGCTAAAATACCCTCATTTGATAAGTGCACAGACTCTCACTTTTTAAAAAGAGACATCACAAAAAAAAAAAAGACATCACCAAAAAATAAAATAAAAAGACATCAGTTACATTGTTAATGTAGTTCTAAAATGACTTTAGGAATTAAAAATAGGAATGAGAAAGGTTCCTGTGTATTAATCACTAAAAATGTATCCAAAATAGTGGTTGGAGTTGAGTTTAATCTTGAACAAAAAATTAACATGCTGTGTGATACTAGAAACTATTAATTTTGTATGTGTGGTCAACACAAACAGTCTGAATGAATTTTTCTTATCTATCTAAATCTCCCTTTCTTCAGGGTTTCACACCAATGATAATAGACTTTGGAGAAATTGGAGGAAGACCATTTAAAAAAAAAACTGGAATTCTGTACTTAAGGATGAATATTTTAATAACTATCTTTCAGAATGTGGTGAAAGTACTTTAATACTATCTTGAAAAAAACAGATGTTTTCTATTTAAAATATATCTATTAAAATGCCTCAGTTAGTAGAGAGGCAAGCTGAGAAGGGAAGTTGTCCTAAGAAACTTTCTTGTCAAGGCGATTTATAAAAGCTGAAGACAATTTCAGAGACTGAGGAAAATGCCACCGTTTTAAAATAAAAGCATAACTTAACCCAGTAGCTGGAGATTACTTTAGGAGGAAAAATCTTTTCAGTTTTCTTCTTTTGAGGATCAATACTGTTAGTGAAAGAGGAAGTTACCTCTTTCGCTAGAAAAACAGTGATATCAAGTTCATATGCTACCGTGTGTGTGCTTTCTCCCAGCTTCTTACTGAATGAGGTACATCTCAGAGGAAAGAATGTGCCTTCCCACTCAACCGGAAGGGCTCCAGGCAAACAAGAGGAGCCCTTTAATTATCCCAAACAGCTTCAGATGGCAAATTACACTCCCCTGGGCAAAGTAAAGGGAAAACCATCCACTGTGAGAAGCCAAAGGACCTAGGGGTACCAATCAAGTTAGAGGGTTCCAGCAGCTTCACTCGGTTTGTGAAAGGCTCTATTGCCAACATATATTTGGGACAAACTAAACAGTAGAAATCTACAAAGGTCTGGAAATAAAATCAAGGTTTAAGATTAAGCTGTAGTATAACAAATAAAGGCTAAGAATAAAGTTGTCAAATGTTTATGCCTTTAAATTCTGGCCTATTGTTTTAAAATGTAATATTCTTTTAGATCAGTTTTTTTTTTATGTTAGAAAAATTGCATGTAATTTGTATTACTGTTCCTTGTGTCTTGGTGTTAAAACGAAGGCCTTGTTTCTTTCTGGAGAGAGTTTGGCCCTGCCAAATGGACCTCTTAGTGGAAGTCCTTATAAAGCATATTTTTCCAAAAAGGAAATCAATTCCATGCTTGGCTTAGCTGACTGCTGAAGTTTATGGCTCTGCAGGGAACTCACAGAACTTCTTCCTCTCTGTAATCACAACCCTGATCTCACTGTTGCTCAAAGACAAGTGGAAAAACATTCAGAATCCTCAGTTCATCCCTTTCTTTTTATGTAGTTTTGGGGGCTGAGCCCAGTGTTGTGCACATACTAGCAAGCAGTCTAGCACTGAGCTATGTCCCCAAAACTCTCCCATTTCTTGATGTTCTCTGAGAATCTGATGAAGGTTAACCATGCTATGAGCTCCATCAGGGAAAAAAAAAACGGTATACCTATAGCACATATGAACACTGACAAACACACAACATACACCACACACAACACACACACACACACACACA